AGGGGTGTTTGTGGACATTTGGGAAGAGGAGGGGAGGAGAGGAAATAGTTCTGTGTTCACCCCCCACACCCCTCAGCCCCCGCCCAGCCCAGGCCTGGGTGTGAGCTACACGCAGGGGATTCAGATTCTGAGTTTACTCTAAATATTCTGATCACCAACCTTGAGCATTTCCCAGCTAAGATTCCAAAACATGGTTTTTCCTTGTGGTTGGTTCTTTCAGTTAGGGAATAGGAGAGGCCATGAAATCTTACAGAACCTGGCAGGGAGGCTTGAAAACTGCTCTTCTGAGAGAACCCCCAAGGATGGTTGTGAAGGGGATCCTGAGCTGAGAACTCCCATCAGCAGTGCAGATGTGCTTTTGCAACCAGGATTTGCCCCAGTTCTATGTGACCTCATCCGCTTCTGGAAGCCCATAGAAGTGGGTTTCTGGCCTTCTTTGGGGCGTTCTCCAGAAGGAAGGCAGGCCTGAGGATCCCGGGACAGTAGGTGATGCCAAACTAGGCCAGCAGAGCAGAGAACAGGAAGGGGCCAGCGTGCAGGGCTGGGGGAGTACTGCTAACAGTAGCCAACCTTGGTTTAGGATCCCAATCCAGGGATGGAAGCTAGGACTGTCCCAGGGCCCCACCTCCCACCAGAAAGGATCTGCTTGCCTGGTGACTGACAGGCAACTGGCAGACCCCAGAGATCCCCAGGATTCCTAAATGCAATACCCATGTTCTGAGCTCCAGGGCTGTGGCCTCTTACCACCTGACCCTTGCCCCATTCCAGTGCCCTCTCTGTAATATTTACCACCTCTTTCTCCCATGCCTAGTTGCCCAGGGCCATCCGAGAGTTAGAGGTCACTGCCCTGGGGCCAGAAAGCAGTGCCTAAGCTGAAGCCTTGGACGCGCGTTAAATCACTTCTGCCCCAGTTTAGGTACCGGGAAGGGCAGGGCTAGAGCAAAGGGCTGGCCAGCAGGGCCCTGAGAGGGCGTGGTTCTGGAATGTTTAGCACTGGCTGCGGAGGGTGGTGTCAAGGGTCTTGAAACCCGGACTTGAAGGAGATGAAGGCCTGCCCATCTCTCCGTTTCCTTGCCCCCCACCCCACACACCCTCCATTCTGGCCCTGGCCCTGCATACACTTGCTCTGCGGGGGGGCTGGGGGCGCTTCGCCCTGGGCAAGGCTGCCCCCCCACCCCCGCGGGCTGCTGGGGATGAGTGGAGCCAGGTGCGCTCCCCACCCCGGGGGTCCCTGGCTGCTCGGGCAGGTGCGGAAGGACAAAAGGCAGGAACTGCAGGGGCGGCTTCCAGACGCTGCCTGAGGTCACGGGGCAGTCAGTCCCTGCTCACCCCAAGCCCTCGGCTGCCTCCCCGGAGGCCGGCACGCTCCTGGACACTGGCCACGGGGCTCCCCTCTGAGATGCCCAAGATACCTCCGGGCGCCCCGGGGGGGGGGGGCGCCAACTGCGACCCTCCCCAGTCCCCAGCGCGCCCACGCCCCAGCAACGGCCTCGGATTTGTATTGGAATTTGGTTTAATTTTCCAAGAGGACTGCCCTGGCCCAAGCGGAGCGCCCGGGTCATCAAAACTGCCAGTTCTGCTGCGCTCCTGGGTGGGTGCCGGGAGGGAGGGAGCGGGGTTCAGTCCTAAAAGGCTCCACCCCTCACCCTGGGACCCCCCCACCCCTCCCTCATAAGCTGCCCCAGGATCCTTAAGATCATCCGCTGCTCCAGATCATTTGATTTTTACTCTATTAATTTTCCGGCCTATTTTTCAGATCTATCTTTTTTCCTGCTCTGGTTAGAAAAGGGGGGGAAAAGAGAAAGGAAAGACGGAAATCCAGATAGCATTTTAGGATCTTCTTAGAAATCTCGGTATGTTTGGGGTTTTCCGTGGTATAGTTTGATGCTCATTGTAAAGGAAAGCCAGTCAAACAAACTTTATTAGGATTTCGACAACAGCTCCAGCATGAGGGTCTTGCTTGCATTCTCAGATTTTTAACACAGTTCTAGTCCAATTTTGGGCCCCAGGAACTGTTTTTAGGAGGACAGATTTTAAAACTACTAGTTGCAGAAAGGAGCCATTCCCTGCAGGGTCTTTTTCTTCTTGGGACATTCAGTTTTTTTAGAGCCTCAAGCACGGAGCCAAGTAACATTGCACTCTCTGAACTAGGTCTCTTTTTTTCTTTTCTTCGGGATGGATTCATTAATGTGTAGAGATAAATATGTTGAAACTAATACACAATGATCTTAGCCTCTGAGACACTTTTACACTGTCAAATTACACTAAAACCCTTTTTGATAGAATGGGGGGAAATGTATAATAATCATGCTAAGATTAAATCTGTTAAAAGATGGTATTTGAGTCTTTCCATTTGCAAGCAATGAATGCAACGTATTCTTTCATCTGCCATCTATCTATCCATCTATCTATGATCTGCTATCTACCTACCTGTTTATGGAGCCCTTTAAAGTAACCCATTATAGAGGGAGAAGCTATTAAAAGATCAATCTGCAGTGTCCACATTATGAAATAAAAATGATCACATGACAGAGTTAACCTGTCAACTCCATATTTTGGTAGGCATGAGCAAACCTAGTCTGAAATGTCCGTCTTAGAATGATCTGCCCATAAAACCCTCGCCCACTTGGTGCGATGTGGGGCAGTGCAGAGACACAAGCTGACCACCTCTCTGTAGCATGTTTTCAGGGTGCACTGTCCATAGTAACTCCCTGAACTGTATGGGTACCCAGATCTATTAAAATCTTCCTTGGAATATCACTGCATGTTCCTACGCTATTTTAAAAATACTATTTAATCATTAGGTAAATATCTCCAGCCTTTAGAGGCCCTGTGCTGGCAGACGTATAGCTTGGACTACACTATGGCAGTCTAGCTCAAAAACCTCTGCTCCCCTTCCCATGTGAGACCCCTTTGCCCCCACCACTCTTCCCTGATGACTAGCCTGGGTGAAGCTGATGAGAACAGAGAAACCGCATTGGCTTTTGGACTCTATTCAGGTGTGCAAACAGAATCTCTCTCCCCCCAGCCTTTTGAAAGTAAATGCCTTGATAACAGGATGGGTTGCTGGATGGCCAAAGAGTAGAGGTCATCTTGAAGAAAATGACACCAATGATCTAAAAAGGACATCTACTTTATGAGATTATAGGCGAGATGCCAAATATCACATTTAATGAGGCCTGATTCTTTTTCTCCAAAAATAACAGAGACTATCAATGAGACAGTCAGGAATGCAAAGGGGCATTTTGCAAGGCCCATGTTCAATTATTGCTTTGTAATATTTTTCTAAAATTGAAAAATGCCTCACGAGTATATGATCTCATGTAAATACCCCTTACAGAAGCTTAACATATGTTTGCACTGCCTGAAAGGAATTACAAAAATATTCTTTCCACAATCTCTTAAGCTTTTAAACTATTCACTTGCATTTCTAAAAGAATCTGTTGTTCTTTAAGATTTAAAAAGATGAAGAAGAACCTTCTATGGGAAGGGTTTTTGTTTGTTTATTTGTTTTTTAGAGATTAGCCATCTGAACTTCAAATGAAGAACGATTGATAATACTGGTAACACTTCCAGGTTTAAAATTTAAGTGTGTTTCTTTCTTTTTTCTTTCTTTCTTTCCTTCCTTCTTTTTTCTTTTCTTTTTTTGCATAGAAATAATATATTTAGCAAAGATTAACGGATACTATTACATGAAGAAAAGTATTCTGTACTATAAGATTTTCAAGGCATTTCTAACAAGAGGTGTGAATGAAGACACATAATGTATTTGGGGCAGCTCTGACAGATACAAGAGTACAAATTTATCCAAGTGTTTTAATGCAGAGTTATATCGTCCAGAGAGAGGACATTCAAAATCAGTGGCAAAGTTATGTTCGATGAAAATTTAAGTCAAGAAAGATTATTACGTGCAGTTACAGCTGCCTACAGATTTCAGCATGTGTGTGTGTATAGTGGATTTGTTCATACCAGTTATAAGGTAATCCAAATAACAGTGTGGGGGATTAAAGAGAAATAAGTGAATATCCGTCTTGGGGAAAAAATTAGATTGACTTGCTAGTTTATCACAGTTATTGTACACAGATTTGCTGTAACCATGTTGAATTTTTAAAATTAGATTTTAAATATATTTTGACAGTCTGAACTTGTATGGTGTGACTAACTATAGGGAGAAATGACAGGTCTGCTTTGTTATTAAACTGCTGTCTGGAAAATATTGGACTCTGTACAGTAAATGATAATTATTTTGCCACTTACATTAGTACAGCTAATAGCAATAAGGGTTTTTTGAACCATAGAAAGCTAACTACTTTGAATTACTGTGCTTTGTTATTCACTGTGAAGCAAAAAGACTTTTTTTTTTAAAGCAACCTCATTTTCATATCATGGTTCTAAGCATTCCCTGCTACTAATTTAAACGGAGAGGAAGTTAATAAATAAAAGGGTGGTATCTAAATGTTTCTATTTGTTAAGAGAACATTCGCAAGTAAGGTCAGCGGTACCAGCAGACTAGACCAGAGCAACGGAGGAGGAGGGGGAAGATGGAAGAGAATGGGCCCCAGTAAACATCCAGGGGCAGCTGGACCAGTTGGGTTCTCTGAGGGATGGGCAGTCTGTGACCACTTGAGAGATGCCCATCAGAGACGCTTCAGATCCTCCCCACTGGGACCCCGGAATGACTCGGTTCTCTGAACTGAGGACAACTTCAAAGCTGATCCAGACTGCCAGGCCCGTGAGTTTCTCCATCTCAGCCTCCCCAGGGTGGGAGCAGTCGTCAGAGGGGGTGACCTTGAATTCCATGTCATTCTCTCCCATGTGAACCCCTCCTCTGGCAGGCCTGAGGCCAGGATGCCAAAGCAAGCGGAGCTAAATCCCTCTTCTTTGGGTCTAATTCTGCCTTTTTTCATAGATAGCTAGGCTGCCTTTAACATACTGTCCTTGAAACCTTCTTCATGGTTATTAATTACCCTTTGTTTATTTTAATATATTTACTAAATCAGGTACCCAAGGGAATCCTCTGCATCAGTGATGTGAAAAACCCTGTTGCCCGAAGTCAAAGAGGTACATCTTGATTTCTGATTTGCATGTGCTTGTTTCGATGAGTTTTCCATGAGGGGGATAGCAAGCAAGCAAGGAATGCTGATAATCCCTTAGGTGTGAAAAGCTCCTGCTTTAGTAATTTGAGTACTTGGGTTTCACATGGAACATAGATGGTGATCCTGGGTGCTGAAGGGTGATGCAGCATACGCGGGACCAGCATGCATGTGTGTCTGTATTTATCTCATTACGTAGGTGTGGTGTACAGAGTGCTTAATCTCGTCTGAGGAAACCCCACATCTTTAGCCTTAACCAGCATGAATCTCTTGACTCTCACAGAGCTAGTCCTTCTGCTTGAATGTCAGACCATTTGGGTGAGCCCGTGCAACTAGCATCCATGGTCCTTGGCCAGCTTTACCAGGGCCTCGTAAACATTCCAAATTTTCAGCCTCTTGAAATTCACTCCATACTCACATTTGGAAAATTCGGTGTCATTTTAAAGCACAGTGTGTCCCCCATTTCTGTATCCAAATGTGACTTTGGAACCACTTCCCACCTCAACTGTAGGCAGAAGGAGAGCGCAGGAGACAGGTGGGGGGCAGATATCTGATTTTCATCTACTAAAAAAAAAAATGAAATTAAGATATTTAAATGAGTTTTCAATTGTAAGTATCCCAGGGTGAATTTAATAATGAAACCTCTTCGTTTAGAAAGCTAGTCCAACACTTGTACACCGATAATTATTTAGTGTCATTGTTTTATGTATTTTTGTTACCTCTTATTGGCTAATGGAACAAAGTTTGATTTTTTTTCATTAAAAAAATTGCTTGCTGAGAAATATGCATGAAGTACGGTTTTTGATTTCTAGAGAAACTGAGGAGGGGGGCAAAAGTCACATTGTCAAACTGCTACTCTTTGCAAAGGAGACACTTTAAGGACCCAATGAATCCAAGAATGTTGGAAACCAGAACCCCATTTTCTCCCATTATTCAAAAGTAGTAACTGGTGACTTACTTTTGCACACTGCTTGAATAACTGGACTGTGAATATTTAACTATGATTTCTTTCCTAGCTTTATACAAAATTAGCATTTTCCTGAATAGGCTCATACATAGATTTTAACTCGATGTTTTACCTTTGGGATTAATTTGAGTGTCCACGTGTGTGCATGCAGTACCAATACTTTATTCCTCTTTTTATTCCTTTCTTTTGTCTCTATCTTTATAATTGGAATTTGAAAACCATCTATTAAATATGATGATCTAGGCCCACTGGCAGGTTTTGTTACATTGAAACCATCCATCCTGAGCAAAGAGTTAATGAACTTTTAAGGCGAGGTTCACACTGGTCCTGACCCTCCTGGTAATTTTTCATATAAGGTTACTGGTGGGAGAGAAATCAAATTTCATCTGTGAACTTGATTGACAGGTGAGAGCAAGGAAGAGAAAGGCATTTGGTCAGATGGGGAATCTGGGGGAAGGAGGACAATTCCTCTGAGTTACTCCGTGATATTAGATATTATAAGCGGATATATGAAAAGTTCAATACTTGATACTCTTGGGGGAGTTACTTAGTGTATATTCAGAAAGTCATTTTGGCTAAGGGATTTTAGTAGTGAAAGCCCCAAATGGAGAACTGCTAGCCTTCTTCTCTCTTGCTAATTTCCACTACATATAGCTTTGTGGCTTATTTCTGGCAATTTTCTAGCTAGAGTATGAAAATTAAACCGCAAACCATTTGGGAAGCTGTATAATTACCTTTCAATTATTCTCAGAAACACAGTCTAGATTATATTATGGTTCTTGGGCATATCACAAAATATCCCTCCTAAATGGTATCGTCAAAAAGATTAAATTCTCCTTTCCTGTAGCATCCCTTGATCCTGACTAACATTTTCCATCAGTGCATGTTACAGCTTAACATACACAAATCTACCCAAATGCATGATTTATCAAGGTTGTGCCTTCTAAGGACGGTCTTCTCATATGAATGTCCGTGGAGACAACTGCACACTGCTATTTGGTGTAAAATTTTCCATGGTAGCATCCCTGGGTGGTGTGATGTTAGCATCTTTGCCATGGAAACAAGTGATGATGTTGCTTGACCCTGATACCAAGGGTGGCTTTGGAATCCACCTGAGGGGTGTCCCTCAGCTTGGATTAACACAACTGCCCCTGCGTTGCACCAACATTGAAAGTTGGCCTTCAAGACACGTTCTCTCTTCTTGTGTGCTGAAACCCTATTTTGCAAGGTGGTTATGGATCTTAGCCTGCTCATGTCTATGCTCTGCCCATTTCAGATGTTCCTGACATTGGCTAAGACCCATCCGGATGCAACCAAGCCTTACAGAGCTGCCTTGGGGCAGGGCAGGTGGGATGCATACGTAGGGGAGAGGCCCATGTGTAGCTTTCCTGTCACCTGTGGGAGAAGCTGATGGAACTTGTATAAATAGTACTTCCTGGGTTCTAAGTACCCGTCAGTTTTTGTTTTTGTTTTTGTTTTCTTTCTCTCTCTCTCCAGTCTTAAAATTAGCTGAGTGGACATATTTTATCCTGACTGTACCCATGCCAATATGAATCCAAACAAATGTAAGGAAGGCTTCATTGTTTTATGAATTGGGATAAAAACAAAAAACAAAACAACAGTAGAAGTATTCAGAAATCTTGTTTTTATTTTGTATAACTTGACCTCCCATGTTGCCCATAATCATCCGGAGAAATAAAACTCGAGAATGGTTTCCTGATACCCTGTGTCAATGTGGGTGCCTTAGCACGGCTATTTAACTCAAACATAAAATTAAATATGTCATAATCGTGTTTCCCTTGCAGAGCCCATCAAAATATTTTAACAGAAATGGTGAATCAGGTGATGTCATGCAAAGGACATGTGAAAACACAGACTGTAAGTTCCGGATTCTTGGTGCTTCTGTTGAGAGAGCCCAAGTGAGAACAGTGGCTGGTCTTGACTGTCTTCATTTCAGGCCCCTCGGGGCTTCTAAATACTCAGTTTTTAAAGTACCTCCTCCACCCCACACGGCAGCAAGGAACAGAATGCTGTCCTGTATGCAGATCTGGAGCGGACCCATCCATCACAAGTTCCATGAGTATCTCTTAAGTGAATTACATCAACGTATTTGTTGGCACCGAGAAAAAAAAAGGGGGGGGAAATAATTTCACTTAAAGTGTTTATTACGCGGACTTACCTAATTGCTTGTTGTTGCTTGCTTATTTAGGTCATGCTCCCACAAAACTGCCATCCATACCCCCTTTCCATACAAGGTCTGCCCACTGTTTTTCTTTCGGTGGGCTCTGGCCAACTACTGAGCTGATTTAATCAATTAATTATAGCAGAGCAGGTGCAGGGTAACTAGCCTGATGATGCCATATGAAGTCATATTTTCAGTGAGCCCCAGGATACTATTGAAGGGGCAACTTAAAGAAATTATGCATTTAGGGGGGGAAAGGAAGAAAGAGTTTTGGTAAAAGTAAGGTGCTCATTATTTAACACAAAGTGATGCTCCTGCAAAGAGCATCCGTGCTAAAAGCACACATTCAGTCACCTACCAGAAGGTCAGACTTACTGCTGCCGTTCACAGACGCCAATGCCGAGACCCTCTTCACCTGCCCATTGCTGAGTCTTCCATTTCCTCCAACCAAAAATCACTGTAAAGTTGTTCAGTGTCTGCATTTTGGGGTTTTCCTGGCACCTAATGAAATTATTGGCAATAAATGAGCTAAGCAGAAGGGTTGGTTTTGTTTTTGTTTTTGTTTTTGTTTTTGGTCTTTTTGCAACATTTGGAACATGCTGGGGCAGGGGTCAGCCAGTGGGGAAGATTCAGTGTGCCTCTGTTTCCAGGGGTCAGCCAGTGGGGAAGATTCAGTGTGCCTCTGTTTCCAGCGTCCACGGGAAATATTACAAAGCCATTTGCACTGATAGAATTTCAGGTGGGGATTAACACTAAGTAGGGGGAAGGGAGGAGCAGTTCCAGGTGTTGGGCGGGAAACTCAAACCAGCTGTGGGAATCACAGGTACTGTCACGGGAGAGGACTCAGACACAGGAGCAGTGACCTCAGATGTAAGGCCCTGGAAGATATTAACACCTAATTAATCCAGGGGCACACATCCTCAACTTAAGCCCCGCTGGCAGGAGGTGAGAATGACAGGAAAGAAAGAGAGGACACTAGTTGGGTTTTGTTTTCACCTTTTCCCTCAGCAAGCTTTGTCTAATGACCTGTTATTCACATGCAGCCAGGGAGGATTTCTTTGTTCATTCCTGTCTACCTAAAAGCCCAGTAAGTTCATTAGCCAGCAGGTAGCCAGCAGAGGTGAGAATGGAATTGATTTACCCTGAGGTCACACCTCCTTTACATTGGGTTTTACAAAGTTTCTTTTTTTCTTCCCTGGCTCCTTCTGCAGCCCAGCTGTGTCCTGGGTTTACAGTTATTTTAAAGGGCTTCGGAACCAGGGGTGACTCCCCCTCTCTCCAACAACAAAGTTAATCAAAAGGTAGACCTTTGGTTGCCAATGGTAGTTAATTACAGGGCTTGAATCTGTACAGCGATGGTGTGCCTCCGGCGGGTTCATATTTTAAAATGAAGTTCATTCCTCATGTACATGAAATGAGGGGAAAGCTGGCCAGGGGTGGGGTGGGGGGTCTCTTCCTGGGCTGCAAATTTTTGAATAAGAGAATAGAATTTCCCGTTTACATTTTAAAAATTTCTCTTATTTTCCTGCCCTCTCTCTCACTTCATAACGGAGTTATTAGAACACTTTCGAGAAATCTTAAGGTGCACACGATACGTTTCACAGTGTTTGGAATCATGCATGGCATTTTAGAAGGCCACGTGAGTCTGCTGAAAAAGATGTGTAGCATCTCCCTGCTCTCAGCAGTAGCCAAGAGAACTCAGAAATCCCTTCACCCATATTGACCTTTTGGACACAAGCTAAGAACTGCTTTCTCATACTTTGCTCCAGTGAGTAGCCCATACACACACTTCTGTCCTGATGCCCAAAGACTGTTTTATTTAGTTGTTATTGGGCCTTCCCAGACTTTTTGTTTTATTTTTTCTTCTCTTTTTCTCCTTGGAAAGCCCAGAAGCGGTTTCTCCCCATTGCAAAGTGCACGGGCCCGCACAGACTTGCCTGGCACGTGCGGGGGTCTGCGCCTGGGCTCTCCCTCTCCGCGAAGCGGGGAGCGTTTGTGACAAGGACTGGATTTCCCATCAGACCCGGAGCAGCTTTGCTGCGCAGGGCTGATGGCTCCCAGCTGCCCTCCTACCCAGCAGCCTTCCGGAGACCCCGTCCGCCTTGCAGGCCCGTCGGCCTCGCTTTCTTGCCCTTTGCACGTGCTCCTTGTTCTCCTGATGTAGTGGGAGCCAGCGAATCAGATCGTGCGCTCTTCCGTACGCACGTGTCTGCCCCAGCTTAGTGGTCGCGGAGAAAGCTGTTAGCGAACACGGGCTGTCTTCTAAACGCAATCTCCGTGGGTAGTCGGGGAGCCTAATTATTCAGAAGTTACCTCCGTTTTATCTGAACTTTGGTTACTTGGCGGCATCCTGACAAGACCCCGGTCTAAAGGCAAAAAGGTCATTGGTCACGAAATAGCACATGGCAGGTGCCATAAACCCTCCCTACAGATTGGCGGGCAGATAGGACGCCTGGCTCCCAAACCGAGCTGGTGGGATCTGAATCGGAGAGTCTGGGCCTCGACTCCAGAAGAATAAGCCCAGGGTATACCTTGGTTCCTGACGGAGAGCGGGAGGTTTCCGTTGTCCATCCAGAGCTCGGAGTTTTCACAGCAGCATGGGGAAAGCTGTCCTGTCCCGGAGAGGAAGAACAAAGTAAGGAATGATTTATTTTAAATATTTTCCTCCTATTTTGTTTGAGCCGGCCGATATTAGTATTGAGAAACTTTCTGTCCTGTTGCTGGAAAACTTTTTTTTATGGCATTGGTGGGAATGGGGGCCCGGGGATGGGGGGTGGAGGGGAGTGCAGTTCCTGCAAGGTGTTTCTGTCTGTCTTGAGTCATCATTTTACAGTGTCATTCAGATTCGCCATTCTCGGCACCATCATTTCCTTCCACAATAAAAAAGGCACCTTCCCATGTTTGCCACGGTTAACGCCGATCAGATTTTTACTTTAGGGAAGATGAGATCCGGGTGTGTGATTTCATTGTAAATTCGTCAGGAGTTATTTGCAGAGCTACTGAGGATGCTGTTCTGAGAATGCAATTTTTACTGTTTCTTTAAAATTTAATCGGGATCAGGTCACTGTGTGGTTTCAACTCAAGGCTTTCTTTTCTCTCTCTCTCGTTTTTGTTTTTTTTTTTTTTTTTACTATTGCAGGCTGCAATAAAGTGATTTGTAATTTATAATCAAACTTTGGTATCGTTAAACTAAACTGTAAAGACTGGCTTTGGGGTTTTGCTCATAAAATAAATATTTGAAAAAATATAGCAATGAGGCTTATACAGTAGAGGCAATATCATTACATATATATCTGTGTATATGAATATATATGTATGTATTTTTGTTCCTGGAGACTCTTAACCCTAGCCCTGAAAAGGCATTTTACAAAATTGTGACTTTCTCTAAACGTCCAAGTATGAACATACTCTGGTAAGAATGCAAGCACATTTTCTTTAATGAACTTCTAATTTGTTGTTTAAAACTCCAGTCATAATTCACATTAAGGTATTCTTTCAGTTATTTTATTTTTGCACTGAAGAGTCCACGTATCCATGCTAGAATTCTCTGTAAGCTATAGTGCTCCTTAGCTAGGAAGACTTTTTTTTTTTTCTTTCCTCCTAACAAGGAAGCTCATTTAGAAAGAAATGTTTATGTGAAGTGCTTGTCAGTTGGCATTTTTACTGGTTTGCTAACCCAAAGGTAAAATATAAAGCCATGTCTTTTCCTCGCTGGCTTGTTGTTACTAGAAGGGTCCCTCCCTTGTTAGCTTGATAAATAATTTTACTAGGGGGACTCTGCTGTATTTTTATGCTTGCTGTCTATTTTCTGCTTGCTGCAAATAAATTTCTGTACTCAGAGGGCACTAAAACTCCAAACACATGGTATTTTCCCATTTTGCTGCTGGTCCCCTGAAATATTTATTCCATGTCGTGCTTTTAATTAATTTTTTAAAAGAAAAAATAATTTGTGGTTAATATCAGACAAAAATTTGTCATATTTCTCAGTACTGTTGGGTTCGAGCAGGGAAGGATGGCTTTTTGAAAGGATTCTTGTCTCACATTTGTCCGGTTGAAGACAAGAGTTATTTATTGGGGGAGTCCTGAAGTTTTCTCTTTATAGATTTCCTTGTCTGTCTTTCCAACTTTAAATATTAAGCTGTTAATATGAGAAATGAATAGGGCTATAGAATTCTATCTAGAAACAAGGCACTCCACAATAAAATCTTTACCTTTGAAAAATGATTCATTGTGTGAAAATAGAGATAAAATTGATCCATAGGTATCAACATGAATATCGGCATCCACCTGAGTCCCGGACATTTAGACATGGGATTCATTACTACTGAGGTGAGGTTGGTGTGGATCACTGGGGGAAAATGGGTGGTACATACCTAAAGATACATACCCTACAGCATTCCAATAAAGTAAAGTAAAATAAAATAAAATTAATATATCCTATAATTGCAAACAACGAACATAGCACATACCAGGTGTACAATGAAATGTTTCCTGAAGGAGTGACATGCACATTGGTAAAACAAGTGATCATTTTAAGTGAATGCCAGATTATTACATGCATTGAAATACGATTTCTTTCAAAGCAGATATCCTGCCTGTTATATGTGACTTGTTATTTGCTCATTAGCAGGGTTTTATGTTGTGAAATTGGAAAACATTTTTAGAAAGGTACCAGAGACATAAATTTGAAGCCAGATTGCCAGTGCATGTCACCAACATCCCCAGTATTGGGGAGACTGAGTCAGAGGTTATCTGGAGTCAGTTTCTGCAGAGATCACCAAAACAAAGAGGAAAATGTAGAAGAAAGGCCCACATACGAGTTCTTAACTATGCACAGAGGTCCAAAGGTCAAGATTCTGAACATTCATCTTCTTGGGTTTTGAACCATAAGATTTAGTCAAAATATTTTCACTATAGATACATATATTGGTTATTATAACATATATGTATCTTGTTAAACATGTATATGGGTTTTATTTTCATATCCCACTTATCAGGGATTTCAGAGATTAGCTAGACTTTAAGATGATGGCTTGTTTTTCCCTCTATCTCTGCAGTTTATAGAGACTATTGAGAATCAGACTTTTTTTATATTTAAGGGAGAAGCGAGACTCAGCATTTTCTCTGGTCACTGTAGGGGTATACCAGTTTGTCAGGAGTTAGAGAAAACTTCCATGGGGTTGCAGACCATGACGTTCCACCCAGCCTTGCTCTTTGGAGGTCATCCAAAGCCTCACCGGCTTTGATGACCACAGCTGCCATTGATTTCTCCTGGGAGCCAGGACCTACGCCATCTTTGATCGTTACAACAACTAGAGGGGCAGATATTTTAATCCCCTTTATACAGATGAGGAAACTCGGGCACAAAACTATTAAAATATAATTTGAGTCGACACTGCAGTCATGCGGATATTTGTTTCTAGATAGATGCCATGCTACCCCTGCCTGGGTCAGCTTATTCCCTCCTTCCTAGTTAAAAAGCCCAGTGATTAACCTTAGCACATGTAGCATGACCTCAGTCGCCTTTTCCTCTTTGGT